CAGCAGGAAACATGCTCCACATAACGGTTTATAGGCAAAGAGATGTTTTGTGTTTTCCTATTTTACAGCTTTGTTTTGGTCTTCACGCATACGTAATTTCTCAAATTCAAACTACTGCCAAAACGTAATATCCTAGGCAAAGCTTTACCAAAGCAGATCAGCAGTAACGCCGCCACGCACGTCGGTCTGCACGGAGACGAGCGCTGTGCTGCCTGCGGCGCCGGAGGGCACGGCAGCAGCTATGCACGTGCAGTGCGGGGCGTATTGGCCAGCTTCGCTTTCCTTCACAAGTACCTAATATGCATGCTTTATAGCATCATGCTTTCCAGCAGAAGCCCACAGAGCTAACTATCAGTTTACTATGAAATCGCAGAAAGCGTGAAATGCCACATAGTATTAGTGTTATTAATAGGAATAGTATGGAGAGATACATAGATTAAATGCATGCAAAGAGCCAGGGAAATCTCACACCCACCACAAGAGTAAGATTTTTCTAAAACAAGTCACCCCAAAGCGATATCATTTACTCCTTTATCACACAATTCAGAAAGAAGCAAATCAGCAAGCTTTCCGCTTCTCAACTCAGGACCACTAAAACGTCTCCTCATGAAAAACACTCCATTTCTACCTAAAGATTTAAATTGTCAATATATACGTGCACACGTGTGTGTGCACGCGTATACACATAGGCACAACACACTCTGCCCCTCTTTTTTTGTGTGGTATGACTAACGTTGCATAGGACGACTACACTGAAGTTTCAGCGTTTTATAATTTTTTTTTTCCATTCTCTCTAAGCAGACAGTTCTTTTAAACCCTAAGAATATCTTCCTAGAAATCTAAAAACTACCAACAAGCAGACATTCTCACCACCTACTTTGCTACAACATTCTGCTCCTCTAAATGAAGAATATCAAACAAAGCAAACTTGCATCAACAAAAATAAGCTGTCATACATGAAATGTTTCAAGTAAATATTTTTGTCCAGACCCTTCTTTGTATACTTACCATTTACAACTTGGCAATTATTTATAGTAGAACAACAACAACCACCCTACCCAAACCACAATGCATTTGGCACCCTGCTGAGACAGATTTACCAGGCCTGAAACTCTGTAGTTTATTTAACCACACATCTCAAAACACGTTTTTCTTTATCTTATGCCCTACTCCCACAGCAGAATACCTGTCTCTTTCAGGTCTACCACATTTTATCCTCCCTGGTTGTCCTAACAGCAAATTAACAACATCATATTCTACCATGATATTTACCACAGAAGCGAGGGAGGAAGAAATGTCACTGCTGAGAAGAGCTACTACTATAATAGGAGCAGGGAAGAAAAGGCATCAACAGTGTACTAAGCAGTGACTATTTTGGGCTAATCTTTCTACTGAGCTGTCTCAATTCCTACCAGGATTTTTGATTCTTTGTACATGAAAATGATGCTTCAGTGTGTTTGTTTGTCCAGCATCATTTACCAGATCCCTTCAAGGGTCTGGATCTTAACTTCACTTTTAGTGGCCAATCTAGTTTCACGAGAACAGCAAATACTAAGTTATTTAATATTTTCAATTCGCAAAGCTATCATATCAATAAACACTACATGCACGTGGGTTAACAGAAGGTTAATATTTGCGTTAAACATGCGCATTGTAATACTTCAAAGGTTGCGATAAGATCATAATGCATAAATGTAATGAGAATTTGCCTTCCCCCATACTGTAGCAGAAATGACTGCAGAACAGACCAAGCAAGGGAAACTGTTAGATGCGCAGCTAGCCGAGCATCAAACCTCACTCTCTGAGAGGCGATTCTCTGCCTGTCACCTCTTCTCCTCCCCACCTGTCCTCATGCTGTTACACTCGCTGTCAATTTATGTGCCTTAAATCTAGCGTGCATTTCCCCCCCTCCCCAGCTACTGTAAATTCATTTTTCATTTGCATAATTTACTTAACTCTTCAAAACACCATAAAGTTGCAGTCCAGGCCGCAGTGCTGCGCCGCCCCTACGTTCTACCTCAGCCTGGGCACACCAAACCAAAGTAAAAACCATGAGAAGTGCACAAAAACCCTGCTATATCAAACTACACCCTCTTTTACAAGTATCCCTTTTATTATTGGCCTGTTACAGATGCAAGCAAAGAGTTTGTCTCAAAGTCTTTTCACAAACCAAGGAGTGTCAGAGTTGCATCCAAGGGGACACCAAGATACAGCCCTGACCCTGGAACATAAAACAAACAAGTGAAGATAACGCCTACCACATTATGCCCACCTAAATCCTCAAACAAGACCAGAATTTACTTGGTCAATGCTTAAAAACTAACTAGTCTCCTATCATCTCAGAGTTCAATAAATCCTGCTTGAAAAGTACTATTTATTTCTATCTGACGTTACTTCAGCTGATTGATAGGACGTGCCAGGAAATATGAAATTGCTGCTCTCCCCTTAACTGGTTTAGTGGTGGACTTGGTATGTTAGGTTAATGGTTAGACTGGATGATCTTAAAGGTCTTTTCCAACCTAAACGGCTCTATGATTCTATATAACAGGCATGTAACAGTTTTCCCCACTTCACTGGGTAAGCAAGCAAAATTGTTTTGCACAAAATATGGAAATCCATGAAGTTGTTATCAACCCCAACAAACAAATAACGAGCAGATGAACAGGCACACTAAACAAAACAGCTTAATAGTATTACGAATGTTCCTAACAAAATGAAAGTGGCATTAAAAAACATTAAACTGAAAAGCAGTACACACCTTTAATGCAATTTTGACTCTTTTAATCTTTTTGACCTTTTCAACTGTCTTTGTGCCGAAAACGTAGAAAGCAGATTGAAAGAATGTTAGTACGACAGCTGACAAGATCACCAGCAGATTAATAACAGTCAGAATATTCAAGTTGAAAGTAAAGAATCAGACAAAGAATCTTCCCTACAACTTCTATCGAACAGCTATGTTTTGTCCACCCAGATGCAATTCTATTGCCAAGTTTTGAGTATATCAAGACAACGGCAAAACCAATCACTTCACATACATTTATTTAAAAATAATAAAAAATAAAACCAAAAACGTTTAGCATGCAACTTACAGGATTGAGTGTATTACATTGGTCTATGGGATTCTTGTAATCAGTCTTCAGTTCATCAAACGCTATAATCTAGAAAAAAATTGAAACAGTTGTGATCCTTCAGTCCGTGTTCAGTCCAATGTTCTTCAGCAACCTGTATTTTATCTGCAAAAAGTAACATTTCGGTACAGAGCCCCAACGTTCAAGTGCTGCCACCATATTCAGGAACGTAATTTCTCCTGAGTACGTTCCATTGTCATAAACCCATTTGAAATAGCTTATACAAACAAGAAAGCAGAAGGCACTTCAGGCATTCACAGACCTCTGCCCACACTCTGTATTTTTACCCCCCCACCAGCAAGGAATTTCCAACGCCACTTTCAGCATTTTTTAACCCCGCTTGCTGCGCCCTGACCCCAGACACCACAAGTGACTCTCTTGGTTGCCAGCAGGAACCTGACACAGGGTTCGTTAATCAAGAAAAAGCAACAGCAGTCAAAAGCAGCCAAATGTTTCATCTCATTGTCAAAGTAAATGCTGACCCCGTGTATACGTCCAAAAGGTGCACCCCAAAAAAAAAAACCCCACATATACTTGACCTTTTCATGCCATAAAAATCAGACAAAGAGGCAGTACAAAACAGAACAAAAGCCACTTCTACAGAACAAATGTCATGCCAAAGATTAAAGAAGCCTCAAGACTGGCCAACTTATTATCAGTATGAGATTTGTTCATATTCAGTATAAGCCCCAATATGTTTACAGGACAGGGCTTATATTAGAACTGAACAGTTTTCGTTAAGGATAACTACGGAGCTTGAAATAGTGCCAAGAACAACATCCTCCTCCAGTCCTCTGCTAGCGCGGTATCTCACAGCTGATCCAGGCTCCTGCCTCTCCCTGTGCCAGGTTCAAGATGGAAAAGTCACCCAAAAAATAGTAGCAATTTTTTTAAAATCTCAACAATTAAGTCTTAAGATAAAGCACGAAAAGAAGGCAACACTTGACTCATTATTTCTGTTAAATAAGCAGCCAAACTGCCTTCAGACTAAAACGTTTCCACCTGTTATTTTAAAAAGACTGCGCTCATTTAAAATAGCGTTTAATAAAATGGACGTATCTTAACGTCAGCACTGGAAAATGCATTTTACCCATGGACAAACACCGCCAGATTTCCACCTGTTCAAGGTAAGGATGACAGTGGACAGTAGACGCGATACCTCGGGTTCCGCCACAGCTCCCGGGGGCCGGTGTGTGCCCCGGGGAAGTGGGCAGGGAGGAGACCCCCGGGAGCCCCCGGGCACGGAGGGGACCCCCCCGGGGAAGTGGGCAGAGAGGGGATCCCCGGGAGCCCCCGGGCACGGAGGGGACCCCCCCGGGGAAGTGGGCAGAGAGGGGATCCCCGGGAGCCCCCGGGCACGGAGGGGACCCCCCCGGGGAA